TAATCTGTGGGCCTTATTTAATTTTTCCTCCCAGTTAGATTGCCGAAAACTTCCCCCAGTCCCGCCAGTGCGAGGGTTTCCTGGTGATTGGAAACTTCCTCTATTAAGACTCCCTTCCCGGGACGGGTCTCCGTCCGTAGCCCTTTTGACTCCCTTTTTATCTTTTATATTTTGTCTTACCTCCCTTCGAAGACAATGGGCTGCTTTTCTGGGCGCCTGATGTCCTCTGCTAGCGATCAGAAGTTGTTTTGTGAAATTTGCTCAGCGTTCAAACGTTCTTTCGATGAATTTGTAGGGGAGAGTGGTCTCCCTGCTCTCTGTTGGTTGGTGTGTTCTCTCCCTAGGTGTGTTCTCTCCCTAGTGTCCTTCTTCCCCAGGGCCGGCTAATCTCTCTCCTGTATCTTGCCTAACACACCTGCTCAGTCACTCATGGCCTTCCCTGAGCCCTCTTCCATCTCAAGATACACTCTATCTTTCTGTGACTTGTGAACTGGCTCCACATAGGGGGTAAATCTGGGCAGGACTTGCGATTCAGACACAAACAGGTTTAGGGGAACATGCATTGTAGTTTTAATGAGACAGCACAGCAGGGTCTCATATGCTGTGCCATCAATTCTTTATGGATAACATATTAAAGAAACTGCACAGATAACCTGCTTGTTATTAAGTGCAGGATTCAGAAACCGGTAACAGTGAAAATTGACTGCATTTTATACACATGATGGGGTGGGTTTCATTTCCTAATTGCTTTTTAAAAAGTCAATCAATCTCAGTGTCTTAAATTGTTCACACTACATCCATCCAAAGGAGGCCTTGATGTTCCTGGATTCATAAGGAATTCTTAGTGGCCATTTCCAAGCAGTATGATTTATCTGCAGATGTCCAAGTTTTCCTCTGCTTTGGGCAAGTTGGAGTTCGTCTGCTGATTCAAATTAGGGTGTATTCATATTTTGATAGTTTGGCAAGCTTTGTTGTTAGTTGCCAAGTTGTGTCAAAACTCTTTGGGACCCCAAGGACTGCAGCTTGCCAGGTTTCTGTCCCTTCACTATCTCCTGGAGTTGGCCCAAGTTCATGCCCATGGAATCGGTAAGCTACCCCCTGCCTAAAGCTATTCTCACCCACAACCAGGAGGTGGGGTTTTCACTCAGCTTTAAACAGGACTTTACACTACATTACTTTTTATGCATGTGAAAAGATGAATATGGTTTTCTTCTCTCCATGTCACTGAGGACTGAATAAAATTAATGCATTTTATTTGACATGTACATGTAAAATACAATTGACCAATTTTTCATGTAACTTCACATACTGTTTTATATTCTGTAGTTTTATTGTGCACACACACATATAGACATACATGAACACGTGCACTCTGATTCATTTCTTATATTTTTTATACAATAAAATAAAATAGAAATCTTTCCTTCATCTTATCTCCCTTTATTTTGGAATGCTTCCTCTATTTGATCACCATAAGGTATTTTCTGCACTTTAGTCTGGGTGTTATATTGTATGACATATTTACAAATGTTACATATCCTGATGAACTCAGTTTTGAATTAGTCCCTGTCTGATGTAAACATGGCTACCTCTGCTCTCATTACTTCCATTTATGTGGAGTATGTTTTCCATCCCTTTGAGTCCATATGTATATCCCAGAAAAACATGGGATAAATTAACTACAAACATCTGTGTTCTCCATTTTGCCACCTGTGAAACATGGTTACTAGTCATGTTCAAATGGGCACCAAGGCCCAGGCCTTCTTGTTACCCTGGTGGAAGGAAGCTCCACCTTCCCCTCTCTCAGCCTCCTGTGTTCACGTATGGTAGGGGCTGGGACTCCTGGGTCTCACTCCCAGTTGGGGATTTGTGGATTCACGGGTGCTGACAGGGCAATATGGGCAAGGTCAGGAGACCATGGCTGCTTCTGCTCCCCCTGCTTTCTGGGTGTTTCATGCACCACTATGAGGGGCAGCACTTTTGTTATCACATGAATTAGTGTATGTATGTCAGGCATTCTAGAAGGGGATACTCCAAATGCCTTCCATCTTCTTCATGTTCTAGTTTGTTTCCACTAGCAGTTACCTGACACTGAATCTTCAGATGCGTGCCAAGAGTGGTGCTAAGTTAGACACGTGCACAGCGATTACAGGTCTAGAGTTTCTCTCCTCTGTGGTTTACTTATTTAAAGGATAACTTATAACTGAAGGTATTTCTACACTAATTACAGATATATATTGGAATTTCTCTGACATGTGATTTATCTGCTTAACAGTTACAGCTGAGGATTAAGATTCCTCCACATTCATTGCATTTAGTTTGTTCTCCCATGAGTCCACTGCTAAAGGTTTTGCTACACGGGTGACATATATATGGATTCCATCTACTGTGAATTAACGTTAGTTAATTAATAAGGATGAATAAAGGCTCTTATACATTGAAAATAAACACAGTATTTCTTCACTGTGAGTCCTCAAGAGTGTTTATACTTTGAAGGTATGGGTGGTGAATCTTCATTTATTAACTTTACAGCATGAGTTCTCTCGTGTTGTCTGAGGTTAAAATATTTACTGAAGGCTTTTCCACATAGGTAACATTTATATGGTTTCTCTCCAGTGTGAATTCTCTTATGCAATCTAAAGTTATAACTTCTATTGAAGGCTTTACCACATATATTGCATTCATATGGTTTCTCACCCGTGTGAGTTCTTTCATGTCGTCTAAGGACAGAAGAGTGATTGAAGGCTTTCCCACATAGGTGACATTCATATGGTTTCTCTCCAGTGTGAGTTCTTTCGTGTCGCTTAAGGACAGAAGAATCGGTGAAGGCTTTCCAACACAGGTGACATTCATATGGCTTCTCTCCAGTGTGAGTTCTCTCATGTCGTCTAAGGACAGAAGACTCAGTGAAGGCTTTTCCACATAGATGGCATTCATATGGCTTCTCTCCAGTGTGAGTTCTCTCATGTTTTCTAAGGTGAGAACAATGAGTGAAGGCCTTCCCACATAGATGACATCCATATGGTTTCTCTCCGTTGTGAGTTCTCTCATGTTGTCTAAGGTAAGAAGTTTTACTGAAAGTCTTCCCACACAGGTGGCATCCATATGGTTTCTCCCCAAAGTGAGTTCTCTCATGTTTTCTAAGGTCAGAACAATGAGCAAATGCCTTCCCACACAGATAACATTCATTTGGTTTCTCTCTGGTGTGAATCACCTCATGTCGCCTAAGATTATAACTTTTACTGAAGGCTTTGCCACACAGATGACATCCATATAATTTCTCTCCAGTGTGAACTCTTTCATGTTTTCTAAGGTCAGAACAATGAGTGAAGGATTTTCCACAAAGATGACATCCATGTGGTTTCACTCCAGTGTGAATCATCTCATGTCGTCTAAGGTTAGAACTTTTACAGAAGGCTTTCCTACATACATGACATTCAAATGTTTTCTCTCCAGTCTGAGTATTACTGTGTTGTCTATGGGCAGGACTTTGAATAAAGGCATTCCTTCGTTGATGACATTCATATGATTTACTTCTAGAACGAATCTGTTTCTGTATATTAAAGGATGGCAAGTAACTGATGGCTTTTCCAACATCTTGGCTAATAATGGGTTTCTTTCCCACTTGAGGTATTACATACTGAGTCAATGGTAAGATTTCAGCAAATTTTTCTCTGAAACTGTTGCATTCCAAAGGATCGTCTTGACTGTGAGAACTCTGCTTTTTGAAATGAAATGAGAGATTGTTACAAGTTTGCCCAATTTATTCATTCCTTCTGTTCTCTACATATAAATTCTAGGGTAATCATTCAGTGACAGACTCCAGTTAAAACTGCTTCTATATTTTTAATATTTACATAAACATGAGGTATTACTCTCTTGCAAGCCTAGATTTACCTTTTGTAATATCCCAACTGCAGAGATACCTATTTAATTTTAAAGATGTTATGATGTTTAAGTGTTTAGGAATATAATCTACAATTACATAACTGTCTATTTATAAGACTATAAACTGTCTATAGTTCTGACTATGGGTTAATCTTTTCTTCCTTAAAACCATACTAACTAAAATTTTCTCCTGTGGAATTCCATGATCTCAACTTTAATTAAATCAGGTATATATGCCAAATTCGCAACTTATTCAAGTCCCAGGTCTTCATCTGGAGGAACATGTTTATACTTGTGAAGCTTACCATTGCACTAATTAGAGGTGTGTTCTTCTTGCAGATATGCTGCATAGGTAACATTTCTTGTTTTTTCAGATCATCTTCTCTATCTGAAATGACTAGAAAAAAATAAATTACTATAGTGGTATCAGTGGAAGTAAAATGTTGAAGTGACTCAATGCTCATTTGTGTCTGTCTCAAGTACTGACACACAGATGGGAAAGAATATCAAATTAGGGAATACTCTAAAGAGAGAAGAAACACATATAACAACTGTCATTCTCAGGACTGAATTATGAGGAAGATAAAATGAATACAGCATGTTGGGGAAGAAAAGTGAATATCGTATTCATAGCACAGGACCATGAAAAGGGACGTTTTGTGAATGTTTATTAATTCCAGTGGGTACACAAATTTCACTTTGTGTAAAGCCAAGGACAATGGCAGAAAGCCTTGTGAATAGAAAATTGATAGCTTCAAGGTATGACAACATCTGAAAAGTGTTTCCCCATGACACTGTCTAAATTTTAAAAACAGCCTACAACGCAGGAGACCCCAGCTGATCCCTGGGTCAGAAAGATCCCTGGAGAAGGAACAGGCTAACCAGTAGTTTTCTTGGGCTTCCCTGGTGGCCCAGACAGTAAAGAATCCACCTGCAATGTGGGAGACCTGGGTTCCTTCCCTGGGTTGGGAAGATTCCCTGGAGAAGGGATCGGCTACCCACTCCAGTATTCTTGCCTGGAGAATTCCATGAACAGAGGAGCTTGGCAGGCTACAGTCCATGGGGCCACAAAGAGTCAGACACGACTGAGCAACTTTCACTTGATTTCTTAGGGCCTATTCACTCACTGACCAGGCTCCTCCTCCTACTGAAGTACAGGTTCTCGGAGCTCACCTGGACTCTGACCTTGCAGGAAGCCTAACTCTTCTCTTGAAAGTTGCTCTCCTTGCTCCAAATGGGAAATCACATCTGATTTGTAAAGCTGATTACCTGTTTGTAGGAGAAAGATATGTGGATTTTGAGTTCTATGCTCATAACAGTGCATGATCATCAGTACAGAGCAGACTAATGAGGAAGAATATAATAACTGGTAAAGGTCAGCACAGAGAAGAGTATGTTGAAAACAACACATATAGCCTTTGTCTAGCAAAATGATAACTCTTCAACTTGTTTCCAAAGACATTAAGGACCTATCACTGCTAATGCCCATGCCCAAGCTCAAAGACAGACTATGGAATCTGCAATATTTTCATTTCATAGTGCTTTAATACTATATTCCAAAAAGAATCCAATACATACAACTTCCACCAGAAAAATCTAAGTTCTATGTGGAAAACAATATATGTTATTTTTAACACGGTGATCTGATCAAACCACAGTCCTTGCTGTAAAATAATTTTAAGAAATCAATACATTTATTTATCCATACAAAAATAGTGAGTTCCCACCACTGCTTGAGCATCAGAGACTGAGTAGCAACAAAGACTCAAAGTTGTGTAAGCAAGATTACATTGCAGTGGGATTGACAAACTAAATATAAGTAGTGAAATGAGTGAAAGTCACTCAGTCATATATGACTCTTTGTGACCCCATGGACTATACAGTCCATGGAATTCTCCAGGCCAGAATACTGGAGTGGGTAGCCTTTCCCTTCTCCAGGGGATCTTCTGAACTCAGGGATCAAACCCAGGTCTCCTGCATTGCAGGCGGATTCTTTACTAGGGGAGCCACCAGGGAAGCCCCCAAAAATATAAGATCTAAAGAAAGTTTTGATAAGGTAGTTGCAAGAGTTATAATAAAGAGTCAAAACAGAATCTGGAGTGAGAAATGCGAAAGTTTTCCTCCATCTTTGTTGAATGAATACATACACACATCATTAAAGAGTAACAGACTAACCAACTGAGACCAGATGACTGATGTTCTCCAGCATCACATCTCTGAACAGCTTTCTCTGGGAGGTGTCCAGGAGGGCCCACTCTTCCTGGGTGAAGTCCACAGCTATATCCTCGAAGGTCACTGATTCCTAAAACATCACAGACATTGTTTTAGATACGGCCATCGCTGCCAGGGTAGGACAGTTACAGGTATAAGGCACTAAGGAAGTAGCAACTGAGTGTACAGAATCTCAAACAGTATTTTGGGTCCAATCATATCATTCTCATTGTTGACATGAGCCTCTGACTTTCAGATAAACCTACGAAGACACACACACTCTAAATACAGAAAACTTCATTATAAAAAGACAATACAAGGCGTGATTTAACAAACTGTGGAGATTTCCCAATAGATTTGTAATTACAACTTCCAAATCATGATTATAAAATTTCCACTTGAAAAACTGAACAGTCTTCAATTCAATTTCAAGTAAATCTAAGACTCATCACAAGGGATGACGTATCCATGATATGCCCCTTTTAAAACAAGACTGTGGTTAGATTATTCCTCTATATGGCCTCAGTTTCTTCATCAGTGAAATGGTTTTTTAACAATCTGTCATGAGTTCTGAAAGATCTAATGACTTAATATGTGAAGCGCTAACTATCTAGCAGCCATTTCTTAAATATAACTTTTAGGTTTAATATTCAGGAAACGGTAGAGAATATTGAAGGAACATCCAGAATTCTGCCTAACTGACTAACATTCATACAGGTCTTGGGATCAGCAGGCACAAGCTTTCATCTTACAAAGCTGAGGTGTTTGCTATAAAGGGTAAGTGAGTCAGCAGCTCACACCACAGGTCTGAGACTTCTGCACAGAAGGACAGTCTTATCCTGACCCTTCCTATGTCTGAAGCCTCCCTTTCTCAATTATCCTGGGACCTCCAAGTATCAGTTATTATTGTCCCTTTTGTTTCTTTGTCTTGTCTCTGTATTCAAGCACATCTGAAGCTATCTGATTGCTCTGGCCTCTTTCGTTCATGGAAAACTTCCTCAGGGCTTAAAGTAGTACTCTACCTCCTATATTCTTTCTTCTGAATCACAGCTCAAAATAAGAAAACACTACTCTCTACACACTGTTTCCAGTTATGAAATGTTAAAAAGCAGAAATTACAAAGAGGGAAAAATTTATGACTTGGGACATTGGTAATAATGAAAATTTAGTTTTCTTTTTTAGAAGATTTTGAAAAGCACAAATATATTTTATCAAAATTTAAGAAGTTTAAATTTGAAAAAATGTAAGTGAATGACTCCTCATTGCCTTCTCCTGCATAATCATTTGTTTTCTCTCAGCACTAGTCAGCACTCTCTCAGCACCTGTAACACTGGACTCATCAATGTCATCTGTGGAAACATCTGCCTCTCCAGTGGGTGGGTTGCAATGTTTTCCTCCTTACTCATCTCCATCGTCTGTATTCACCTCAATCCTAAGCCCATCACAGTTAATAAAATGGTTAATGACTATCTTTTTTTTTTTTTTGCCAAGTGAGCCATGGGCTGCATGAAGAAAAGAAAACCTCTCTTATCTCTTCTTGCATACATGGCATTAATAAAGACTGGAACATCTTATTATAATGTTGGGTAGGAATGACCATTTGATGAGTCCTTGACCCAACATGACCATTCCAGAATTCTGGGGAACTTAACTGAAGCTCAGATCCTTGAACAACCTCTCAAGTGCACTTAGAACATGTGTGCCTGTAGGAGAATTACATCCATACACTGGCAATAGGGCTTCCCAGAAGGCTCAGTGGTGAAGAATCCGTTTGCTAACACAGGAAACTCGGGTTGGACCCCTGGGTCAGGAGGATCCCCTGGAGAAGGAAATGGCAACCCACTCCAGAATTTTTGCCTGGGAAATCCCACGGACAGAGGAGCCTGGCGGGCTACAGCCCATGGGGTTCCAAAGAGCAGGACAAAACTGAGCATATACCCCACCACCAGCACTGGCAATAGAGATTAGAAAACAATTTCTACTGCCAATTTCAGTAGAAAGAGTAATTTCCTACCCACCCGAGATTCCATTGTAATTAGTTCAGCTGCCAACTGTAGTCTGGGTTTTCACTTATACACAGTCCAAGCAACAGGAAGCAGAGCTGAGGAAGAAGAAAAAAGTCATGAGACTCTTAGCTGTCCGCAATCTCCATATTCACTTGTCATGAAGCCCCAACCCTTCACCTGGAGGTAGCTCCCAGGACAACCAAAAGAAACATGCAGTGTGCTCCATGAGAAGTACAAGTAGAGCTCTTCTCTACCAGGATCAAAAGTAAGAAGGCATGGCTATTGTTCTTAGTAAAGAAGGCATAGAAGTGAAAGTCACTCAGTCGTGTCCGACTCTTTGTGACTCCATGGACTATACAGTCCATGGAATTCTCCAGGCCAGAATACTGGAGTGGGTAGCCTAGCCCTTCTCCAGCAGACCTCCCTGACCTAGGAATCAAACCGGAGTCTTCTGCATTACAGGCGCACTCTTTAACAACTGAGCTATCAGGGAAGCCCAAAGAAGGTATAAACATCTTCAGTTTACAGCAGAATGTGGACAACCACTGAGTTTGGTATGCTAATTCACTCAGGATATTCAGAAATGTCCAGTTACCTCCTAATTCCAAATCACAGGGATCAGTGACTCATGCTACGTGTGTCTCCATCTTGAGTAACCACCATGAACTTCTCAGGTTTAATTACTCTTACTTTGTGCATTAGCAGTTTCTCCAGCTATATTCCAGCCCTCTAGTACCTTGAAACATCCTTACTTTTTTCAGCCCCTCATACACTCATCCTGAATCACTCTGTCTCTTCCAAGAATTTCTAGCAATGTTACCACTGTAACACTCACTTTTAGATTTCTTCTGCACTTAGTTGTGAACTAAGAGAATTAAAAATATATTTTATGACAGGGTTAATTATTTTAGATACTTATTTCATTTGGAGGAAACAATGGCACCTACTTGCAATGTGTGTGTGCACTCAGTCATGTCCAACTCTTTGTGACTCCATGGACTGAAGTCTGCCAAGCTCCCTCTGTCCATGGGATTCTCCAGGCAAGAATATTGGAGTGGGTTACCACTTCCTTCTCCACGGGACCTTCCTGACCCAGGGATTGAACCTGAATCTGTTGTGTCTTCTGCCTTGGCAGGTGGGTTCTTTACCACTGTGCCACATGGGAAGCCAAGCTCTTTTGGGGAACATACTTTCCCTAACTTTCTCTAACAGCTTAGTCTACAGTCTTCAAAGTAATCTTGTCACTCTAACTCCGTATCACTTACCAAGGACTTCTCAAATGATACTGTTGGAAGATCTCAAGACTCCATCCTATCTCCTTCATCTTTCTCTGTTTATGTGCATTGCCCACGTATGCCCACTTATTTACACAGTTGCTTCGATTTCTTCCATTACTTTTTCTAAATTGAAAGTGACAAAACTCATGTTTGAATTCCATTTCTGAGCTTCCCCCCCCCCCCCCCCCGCAAACTAACATACACTAGAAATGAAATATATCTCAGGACATCATCTCCCACTCTTCCCAAATATTACTCTTTACCTAGTCTCTAATCTTTTCAATGTCTCCACCAGAGATCCAAGGGTTGACATTTTAGATGCTCTCTCAAAACATCACAAATACAGTTTAGCATTGCTATTACTTCCACACTGGTCACTAGCATCCTTCATTTCTACTCAAATCCATAAACACAACTTGCTACCCCCATACTTATTTCCTTCAATCTGTTTGAGTGTCAGTTCCTCAGAGATTCCTTCACTGAATTCCTACGAAAATGAATACTTCACTCTTGGTGAACATGGTCTCCAATACTCACCAGAACCAAATAGACGGAAAACCCAGTGAAGCCAAATATTCACTGAGGACACTGCCACAACACTCCAGAGTTCAGAGCATCTTTCTCTTTCCAGAATATGCATCATTTTGATGAATTCTCTTTTAATGCTGTTGACAATCTCATCAGCGTTTTAATCCAAAGGACAGTATCTAACATGGGTCCCAATCAAGATAAAATCAGAAAATTAGGCAGACCGTGTAGATGAAATTAAGGACAACAAATTGTATTCTTTAGTTCTTGCTTCCTCCTCAAAAGCAAACTTCATGCCTTTTCTCAGACTTCAGTGTTTTATGATTTTGGTTGTTCTGGACAGCACTGAGAATCTGCAGCAAATGAATCCTTCCTCCTCTTTAGTTTTATTTGTAAGAGGATCTGTAATCTAACAACAATATTCACAGACTGTGGACAGAAGAGTGGTGACTCTACATTAGTGTAAATATTTATGCTGAGTAAACATCTATCCAAAGAAAATATCTTTCATTTTCACTACCAATTAAGAAAAAGCTCATCCTGTGTACGTCTCTTCAAGTCAGATCTAGTTATTATCCTAATAACTGAAAAACTCTGCAATCCACAAAATTTAAGGATTTCCAGAATAAATGATTAGTTTCAGGACTGATTTTTATTGTACACAGAATTTGTTTAAATTTTTTAATTGTAAAATAAAACATACACATAATATTTATCATCTTAAGCCATTTTTACATGTATAGTTCAGTGGTGTCAAATACATTCATAGTGTTGTGCAACCATCTTCAATGCTGTTCATCTTGTAAAACTGAAACTCTGCACCCACTAAACAACCACTCCCCATTCCCCTCTCCTCCCAATGCCTGGAAACCACCATTCTACTTTCTGTCTCTAAGTAGGACTTTTGTTTTTTTTAGGCTGTGCCAGAATAGAAGTAGGAAGTATCCTAGAAATCAGTGCAGGTGTTTGAGTCAGAACCCAGCAAAGAGAGGAAAAAAGATGAAATTCAAAAATGGTATCAAAGAGCTGAAATTGTAATGATTTTTGGAAGATATGATTTCAAACTCAAAAAAAAAAAAGCCATATAAGAATCCATTTTAACTATCACACCTAATAATACTTTTTAAAGTAGACAAATCCAACCTTAATGTACTGAAATCAATGTTTCCTATTTAGTAACAATAGTTTAAAAACTAAGTAAACATATGAAAGCCAGTCTCTATGTATTACAGCAAAATATTATGACTCTAACTTCAAATAAATTTGCAAACCCATGCAAAGAAATTTTAACACTTTTTGAGGACATAAATGTAACATGAACAAAGTCTGCCAAACCAAATTCTTAGACTAGAGTACATGGTGATAAAAAAATCTGTGACTGCCAAGATTTGATGCAACTCAAATTTAAAAGTCATATGCAGAATCTGAAAAAGAACGTATATACATATATGTATGTATAACTGAACCAATTTGCTGTACATCTAAAACAACATTGTAAATCCAGTATACCCCCCAAAAATCATATGTGATATTTCACATAAAAAATGAGAAACATCCTCAAAGTTGATTTTTGTCTCAGTTTTGATTGGGGATGAGGATATGGCCAAAATAACTGTGAAAAGGGAAAAAAAAACCTGGAGACTAGTCAAGTTACATCTGAACCTATATTTATTTGAAACTTTTAGAACAGTTCAAATTAAATAGTTGAAATGAACAGTATTAAACAATATATTAGGACTAAATGAACATAATATTTTATACTATGAAACAGGTGACACCTTATGAAGGGAAAAAAAGCAAAGGTCATAATTTTGGTTTCATTGCATCAACATTATCAGACCAAAGTGTCTGTGTGTATGTAACTAAACCATAAACTAGAAAAATAAGTAGGAAAATTCATTCTATATATACATGTCTATAAAGAATAACCTTTACTCAGTCTCTTAAGTAATTAGTAAAATGGAAATTAGGAACAGAGAGTTGTCATTTTATCCAAATCTACAATTATACACATATATTTAAAATGAATCCTGGTTAAGGTACGAGGGGACAGAGAGATGAGCTGTGTATTGTGTGTAGGGAGCATGGTGCCAAAACCTGTTACAAAATGAAACGTACCATCTTTTGGCTCAGCAACGAAACCCCAACTTACCCAAAAAGGAGGAACACTCAGTATCTGTAGACAAGTTAATTCTTTTCAAATTCATGAACACCAACATCTCTCTGGGATAGGTGTGCTGTGAACAATGTTAAAATCCTCTTACTATTAGACATTTTGGGTTGATTCTGTTTTTAAACAACTACAGATTAAAATATACTGCATGATGTGGATGAAATGCCACCTTAATTTGTCATGGCTAAGTCTCTAATTACAGGCCAAATACAAAGATTTATGTTGTTAAGCTTCAGCTGCATTGTACAACCAGGTAAAACACTCCCCCCCCTCCACAATTTTCTTTCATCTTCGTCTACCTCCACCTCTTGTGCCTATGCAGTCCCCACTGGCAATCTTATTGACTGCATGGTGTTCAGTTCCCGTCTCCAGTCAATGTCTGGGCATGCAGCATTGCTCATGATGGCCCCCAAATGGAACCATGTCCCAAGTCCCATGTCACTGGCTGAAAGTGAGATAGAATTGGTCCGGAGATGGGAGAGGCCACAGATGAGTGAGGAAACGTCTTAGGCAGGACACCTGAGAGTCAGCATGTCCTAAGAACAGCATTACAGGAAAGAGAGGGCAGATCAACCAACAGATAATATGAGCTTTCCCAGATAAAGCTTTACTCCTGACTTCTCATCTTTTCCCTCCTCTGAGGGTCTTGCTCAGGCCAGAAGTCATTCCTCAGTGTTGGCAATGTGCCATTCATGTCTTCAAATAGCTTCTCCCCTTTCTGGCCACAACCACACATGTAGGGGAGAAATTCAACATTTAGAAAAAATGGTCCTCTGCGTCTGCTGAACTATTACGGAACAGGGCCAATAAACTCCTACATGGGCATCAACAGCTAAGTTTCTCTGCCCCTCTATGCTGTAAAGCCCACACATCACACAGCAGATATGGGAAGGCGAGTTGGTGCAACCCTCCCTTTCAAGTCAATCCCCACAGTGTCTTCCAGCACCTGCCGAGCACAGCACCACCAGGTAAGGATGGGCAGAGCTCTCCTTCTCTCCTGCTGCCGAGCTTCCCAGGCTCTTTTTCACTCTCTAACACCCAAAGTACATCACCCTTTCTCCTCCAAGTTCCCTTTCCTGAACCAAGTGCCACCTCCTCCTTGGAGAAATACCTCTGTTCTGTGCTTAGTTTAAAAAATCTTGATCTTTCCCTACCAGTTGCCTTTTGATTATGCGAGAATGTGTCCTGAGGCACATGGAAAGACAAATGAACAGGAAAGAGGAACCGTTACTGGCCTCACAGGCATGGGGTGGTCGGGGATCATTCTCACCCCTGCCCCTAAAGATTCCAGATCTCATTTCATTTTCCTGAGCAAGGGCAAGTTGCCTTTCATGGTTGTAATCATCTTGATTAAAACCATTTAATTTCTATTTTCCACAATAGATATTAAAATATACAATTCTATGAATATATAAAAAGTATAACATTAAGAACACTTTTAAGTAATGGCACTGGGAAACATAAAAGTTCAGGTATGAAAATAGCTCTGAGTAATGTACTCATCATGAACAAATGAGATCTGTGAGAACAAAGTTCTAGAATCATTCAGTCTATCGTTCAGTATTTGCCAAACAAACAAAAAAAGTAAGGAAATTTGAAGAGAGCATATGCGTAGTTGAAAACTGTAGCTCACAGACCAATAAATTAAAAACTCACATACAGAAGGAAGAATGCTGTTGAACACTGGACCACTTGCTTAAACTACCTAGTACTGACTTTTAAGACAAAAATCATTAATATCCCTACCAAGTGCACACCGAAATAGTGTGCAAATTATTTACTAAGCACCAGAGAATACTTTTAGTACATAATAATGACAAGAAAAGGACCGAGGTCTCATGACCTGAATCTGACACAATACACTTAAAGTAATTTGGAAAATTTTAGAGGATGAGATGGTTGGATGGCATCACCGACTCCATGGACATGAGTTTGAGTAAACTCCGGGAGTTGGTGATGGACAGGGAGGCCTGGCGTGCTACAGTCCATGGGGTCGCAAAGAGTCAGAGACGACTGAGCGACTGCACTGAACTGAATGAATTTGGAATCTATCCTTCTACTTTTCCCAACTGCTACTGCTGGTGAAAGTCCCCTCCTCCATTCTGTCCTTGGCCATCTCCGTACTGATCTCCTTTTTGTCTGTTTTCATGTGCCATTAATGCCTCTTACCGCTTCCGTGGTGGGCCAGCTGGTAAAGAATCCGCTTGCAATGCGGGAGACCTGGGTTCGATCCCTGGGTTGGGAAGATCACCTGGAGAAGGGAAAGGTTACCCATGGGAGAATCTGTACAGTCCATGGGGTCGCAAAGAGTAGGACTCACTGAGCAACTTTCTCACTTCACACACATTGCTTCTTATTCAGTCACTTTCCTTTCTTACCGGTATTTTGTCTCTCCAGTTCCACTGCACCCACCTCTCTCCTCCTCTATTTTACTTTTCAAGTCCTCACTCACCTTTACTCCGTCTCCTGGTTCAGTCTCGGCCTCCTCGCCCCACTCGACACCCATGGAATGGAGCAAAGATGCTCTGCTCCCGTGAGGGAGACACTGTCCCGTGAGGGAGCGACACCCGTGCCGGCAGATAGGACTTGGGACGGAAGGTCACGGGGCGTCACTGGACAGGGCCGATGCCCTCCCCAAGGGGGCTCAGGGGCCTTACTGAGGCGGTGACCGCGGAGAGGAGCGAGTGGCGGGACCCGGCCGCTTCTGGAGAAGACGGGGGGCTGCGGATTCGCGGGGCCGCGGGAGGGCGCGGAGTCCCGGGCGGCCCCGAGGGGCGCAGAGAGCGAGAGCGCACGTTGCCAGTGGGGACCTGACACGGCGCGGTTCGGGGAGGGACCCCACGAAGAGACCGTAGGCCGGAAGGCCGGACCGAAATGGCCCCGGATCCGGAAACGGATGCGACTCGAACCCGGCAGCGGAGCTCCCGGCATCGCGAGTCTCAGGGGTCACTGGGCCAGCGGCGCGAGAGCTGGTCTGTGACGTCGTCAGGGACTCGGGCCCTGGTGTGAAGGAAGGGGCGGGGCGGGGCGGGGCCGAGGAGCGCGAGAAGTGCCGAGGACCACACTCACCGGAGAGGCCCTGCGCTCCCGACATCCGCTTCCGGGTCCGTGGGCAAATACGTAAGGGGGCGTGGCCTTAGTCAGGGGTCGGTGGGGCCGGCGTGGGGCGGAGCCTCGAAAGGCCTCGCCCAGGATGGGCGTGTCCTGAGCGCGGAGGGAGGCTGGAGCTGCGTGGGGCGTGTCTTCGCGGTGAACATTATGGGCGGGGCCGGAGCCCTCCCGTCCTGCCCTCCGCAGGTTCCTGATCCGCCGGTGCGGGCTGACACACCTCAGTCTTCTGCCTTTGGATGTGCGGGCGGTGGGGCTGCTTCCTCCTGGCTTCGGGATAAGTGTTTCGAGCTACTCCAGGTCGGAGCTGACAGTTGTGAGGCCTTTCCTAGTGAATGCTGGGATGTTTCCCTGTTACCGTGTGGAAAACGGGTTACGTTGAAATCTCCTCTCGCTCCTGGAGACTCCTGTGAGGACTGGCCTCAGGCGGGGAGCTGGCTGGGCCCAGCTGGGTCCTGCGGTTCCTGCCCTCCCTGCGCTCGAAATAGCCTGAGCTGGCGATGGAAACCAAAAGGAACAGGGTTTCCCTTTCTGTCCCCACTCACCAAGGAGGCAGCACGAGCCCTGGGCTCACCACCGGGGACTTCATATCGTGTCCATGATAGTGTGGGCAATCTCCTAATTCAAGTCATTAATTTCTAAATATACGGTATTTTCCCATTGACCTTATCTATATTCCCACGGCTATCTGAAATTGTGTTCAGTTCAGTTCAGTCGCTCAGTCGTGTCCGACTCTTTGCGACCCCATGGACTGCAGCACGCCAGGCCTCCCTGTCCATCATCAACTCTGAGAGCTTGCTCAAACTCATGTTCATTGAGTCGGTGATGCCATCAACCATCTCATCGTCTGTCGTCCCCTTCTCCTCCTGCCTTCAGTCTTTCCCAGCATCAGAGTCTTTTCCAATGAGTCAGTTCTTTGAATCTGGTGACCAAAGTATTGGAGCTTCAGCATCAGTCCTTCCAATGAATATTCAGGGCTGCTTTCCTTTAGGATTGAGTGGTTGGATCTCCTTGCTGTCCAAGAGACTCTCAAGAGTCTTCTCCAACACCACAGTTCAAAAATATCAATTCTTTGGCATTCAGCTTTCTTTATGGTCTATCTCTCACATCCATACATGACTATTGGATAAACCAATAGATGATTAGATGGACCTTTGTTGGAAACGTTGTCGGAAAATAATGTTGTCAGAAAATGTCAGGAAATAGTGTTAAAGAAGAAACATCAGTGACATTTATTAAAGCTGGTAAAATAAAATTTGTAAACATAAAATTCTCTGTGTTTGTTTGGGCCTTCTCCCTCCATAATGTGCGTGTGAGTTTGCATGCACATTAACCAGAGCTCCTCAAAGATGGGATTGCCTGCTCAACCACAATATTGCATTTTTTTTTCCTTTTCTTTTGAAGCTAGCAATTGTTGTTATTTAGTCCCTAAGCTGGACTTCACTGGTGGCTCAGACGGTAAAGAGTCTGCCTACAATGTGGGAGACTTGTATCCCTGGGTCAGGAAGATCCCCTGGAGCAGGAAATGGCGACCCACTCCAGTATTCTTGCCTGGAAATCCCATGGATGGAGGAACCTGGTAGGCTACAGTCCTTGGGGTTGCAAAGAGTAGGACACGACTGAGCGGCTTCACTTTCACTTTCAGTCACTAAGTTATGTCTGACTGTTTGTGATCCCATGGACTGCAGCACCCCAGGCTTCCTTGTCCTTCACTATCTCCCTGAGTTTGCTCAAACTCATGTTCATTGAGTCAGTGATGCCATCCAACCATCTAGTCCTCTGATACCTGCTTCTCCCTCTGCCCTCAATGTTTCCCAGCATCAGGGTCTTCTCCAAGGAGTCAGCTCTTGGAATCAGATGGCCAAAGTATTGGAGCTTCAGCTTCAGCATCAGTCCTTCCAATGAACATTCAGGGTAGATTTAACTTGTTAAAAGAATAGTGTTCTTTTCTGGCTCTGTAGGGGGCAGTGGTGACTTGCTGCTTGCTATGTTTGAGTTTACCTGGCTATGTATCTTTGGTGAAGTTTCTGTAAAATATCAGCGTATCACTTTGAGGCATGATCCTTTGTCTCAAAAATGTATATGACCATGCCCTCAATTTTTAACAGGCAGAACAGACTCAGAGCTTTCTGAGAATCTGCTTCCAAGTTTATAATCCTCAGTATGGCTCCAATAAAAATTCCCTCTTTTCTTCTTAATTGAATTTTCCTCAACAAAGCAAAATAAGGAAGATTTTATTCTGGGGTGGGCTATGTCAACACTGGTAAAGGAACCAGTATAGTGGGATTTTTTATTGGGTGAGAGAGTTTAGGCTGAATAGAACGGGAAAGACTGGTAGCTGACTGTGGGTCAGATCATGAACTCCTTATAGCAAAATTCAGACTTAAATTGAAGAAAGTAGGGAAAACCACTAGACCATTCAGGTATGACCTAAATCAAATCCTTTATGATTATACAGTGGAAGTGACAAATAAATTCTAAGGATTAGATCTGATAGACTGAGTGCCTGAAGAACTACGGATGGAAGTTTGTGATTTTGTACAGGAGGCAGGGATCAAGACCATCCTCAAGAAAAAGAAATGCAAAAAAGCAAAATGGTTGTATGAGGAGGCCTTACAAATAGCTGTGAAAAGAAGAAAAGCAAAAGGCAAAGGAGAAAAGGAAAGGTATACTCATTTAAATGCAGAGTTCCAAAGAATACCAAGGAGAGATAAGAAAGCCTTCCTCAGTGATCATTGCGAAGAAATGATCCAGTTCTAATGAGATGGATGAAACTGGAGCCCATTATACAGAGTGAAGTAAGCCAGAAAGATAAAGACCATTACAGTATACTAACACATATATATGGAATTTA